AAATAATAACGCCCCGAGCCGTGGGTTGGGAGGTATTTTTTCCTCCCAAAATGGTTAACCCTCGCACCCTGAAGACCCCCCCGCGGCGTGTCGCAGCCTTGGGACCGCTCCTTCCCGCTGAACCGTTTTGCCCGTTTTGCTAAGGTGGGTTTTCCTCTTGCTCCTCCAAATTCTCCCCTATCCTGAATTTTAAAGGCTGTTCGATTTATTTCTTCTTTTCCCAAGCTGTTGCGAGCACAAAAGACTCTGATTTCATTACTATCTCATTACTATTGTGATTACTATTAATATTTTGTGAAAAAATGCCATAATTCAGGCAACGAAACGGTAAATTATCTGCGGCGAGGCCGGATCCGGCCGGTGCGGCCCACAGCCACGCCGTGCCCGCGGAGCCCCCGTCCCGGGGCTGGGGGGCTGCGCAGCGGCTTTGCACCTAACCCGGGGGCTCGGCAGAGAGGAGCTGAGTCTCTTTGGCTGCTTTATCACTTATTATAGCTACGGGAGCGTGCGCCAGACCAGGAAAACGACCGATTTTCCCCTCCAGTGTCCACCCGGGAGGGCATCTGCAAGCCCTCAGCTGTTATTTTAGCCTGGATTTTAGGTGTTCGTTTTCTCCTGTTCCTGGAGGTAGCACTGTTAGTCCTAAATCAGAGTAGGGGCTGCAGGGCTCACGTTTAGCCAAACCCTGCCGCCAAGTTTCGGTTGTTGTCGAAGTCTTGAACACCGACCCCCCCGCCCTGAAACTCAGTCTGCGGGAAAGAGCTGGGGACCAGGGGCACAGCCTGCTTGGGTTTACTGTGCCGGTGTCCGTCACCGGTGTCCCCCTGCCCTGTGAATGTACCAGGGAAAGCTGATCCGCTGCTGCTGGGCGAAATATGGGCATCTTGACACATTTATGGCTCAGGGAAAGGAAAATTCCAAGGAGACACTGAGCAGAAAGCAGCTCCTACACCTTCCCTGTGCACCTTTACAGATGCCCTGCTTCCAGCAGCCTTTAGGTCTCCCCCACAACGGTTAGAGCCTGAATTATTTGGGGTTTTGGTGTGTTTGAAGCATGGCTTGGGACCGCCTTGCCCAAGCACAGCTTTCTTAGGGATATGCCCCTGGAGGTGCCCAGGTGCGTGCCCATGCTGGGGGCAGCCGAGGGGGGCTGTCATTAATGGTCCCTTAGCCCCCAAACTCCCCAAAAGGGGGTCCCACGTATAAAATGGCTCTTCCCCACTGCTCTTTGTGCTTCGGTTTTTGCACTCCCTTTGCCAGCGTCTGGCTGGTGGGTGTTTCCGCACACCGGAGGCGATGGTTTTCCATCCCTTGCCCTGCGCATTCCTCCAAGTGGTTTCCAGTGCGTGAAGCTCAGGCAGGGATTTCTGAAGCTGCATCGCTTCGACCAAGCGTGGCTCCAGCCCAGTGGGACTCTGCCTTCCAGCGGGTGCTGCAGAGAGCCCCCAGACTCCTGCCCACTGATTGCAGCCTTGCCTTTGTCAAGGCAAGCAGATGCTTGGAGCCAGAGATACAGCGGAATCCGGTTTTCCATTTGTTCTGGGTGTGCTGCCTTACCTATTAGCATTTCCAAGGCAAAGCTGCCTGGGGAGCACTTTGCATACCTACCTGGGCTAGGGGTTCGCTTGGGAACGCTATACGGTCCTTGAGAGGTCCCAGACGACCAACCCAGAAGTTGCTGCACGGTGAAAGCTCCTGTTGCACCAGCCCAGATGAAGTTCACAAAGACTTTATGCCTCAGACTGCCCTGTTCATTCGAGATTAAATGTCTTCTAATAAAAAGGCTGTGGTCAGTTTAACTCCAAATTGCATACTTTTCTCTATCTGTGGCCTGGAACTCAGCAAACTATGCAAAGTCCCATTTAAATTAATGGGATGCTTCAGTACTGATTTTAATGGGATTTTTGATAATAAAAATAACACTTAGAAATGCCCTAACATTTTGCTGCAAACTTGCAACAAAAGTCGCTGGAACTGGGATAATAAAAATACAGGCTTTATATGAAACCTATGAAGGGTTTATCATTAACTTCACTGGCACAGTTTCAGGCCTTACTATTTTAGTTTACCCTTGTATAAGTAAAAATTCCTTTATCAATTAAACAAGAATCTGTGACAACTTTTCTGTTCCAGTCTGGCAATTTGCTGCAAACTTGCAACAAAAGTCGCTGGAACTGGGATAATAAAAATACAGGCTTTATATGAAACCTATGAAGGGTTTATCATTAACTTCACTGGCACAGTTTCAGGCCTTACTATTTTAGTTTACCCTTGTATAAGTAAAAATTCCTTTATCAATTAAACAAGAATCTGTGACAACTTTTCTGTTCCAGTCTGGCAACTTGTATGTGAAAATTTAGTTTGATATTATCAAAACAGCCAAGATTTTCAGACTCATAAACCAGCCTGTATACAAGGACTGAGAACAAATAAAAATAAGAAACTACACATTGTTTTTGCTAAGAGTTTGCCCATCAAACAAAGTTAAGTTGTTACTTCTAAAAAAAATACTTCATATCCCTCCTTTAATCTATCCAGGAGAACAGTTTTCTGCTCACCCTCATAGAAAACAGTAAAAACCTCCTTCAAAGTAAAATATGTTTTAATTAACAGAGCTGCAAAATAAAATCCACAGCTATGCAACACGCCTCCTCTGCAGCTCACCATTGTGCGAACCGCTCGGGCAAGCTGCTCTTATTAACAAGCTACAGGCTACGCTCTGCTCCAAACTGATTAAGCACTAGGGCTGCAGGCAGATTTTCTATCAAAAATGTTTCAATGGCAGCCAGCCTTTTCTTTTGCGGCATGATTTTTTTTTTTTTAACAGGAAAAAATAATTTGTTTATCCCCAACTCCAATTTCTCTAATGAAGAAAGCATATGCACGGAATTTTTATTTACCAAAAAACTTCCCAACAAATAAAAATTCCTGTAGGAAATAAAAGAAGAAAAACAAAAGAACATATGTATTTGATTTTTTCCCTTCTTCACCCAAGTAATTTCTTGCAAAAACCCAGGTAACAATGTTCAGTCTCTGCTGGAGACGATCAAATTTGCTCACAAATCTTCCCAGGAGATCAGTGGAGCTGAGCGAAGGCTTGTGCCCGGCGAACCCCACCGATGTAAATGAGCAGTCCAGAACCAGCTCCTCCCGACACCTCTGCTGATGGAGACCTACAACCCACAGCAGCGTGCGATGCCTCCCCAGAATGACATGTAAAACAGCACCCGATCCGGGTTGCTAATTCAAGTCTCGCATAGCAGCTTCAGAGCTTCCCAAAAAAATCTATGTGTTAATATGCAAGAAACAAAAATCTGACTTAGTATGAGCAGGGACAAAGTAGCTGCTGTCCCCCAGGAGCGCAAAGCAATTTATTTTACAGGCTTCAAAGTGATACATGCCCGGGTATAGGAGATTAGCAGTGGGATTTTCAAAAGCCCTATGTGAGTGAGGACCAGATTTAAAAAAATGATTCAGTGAATCAGTCCTGGTGTGAGATTTTCCTAGAAGTGAGTTAGGCACCTGGGACTTAGACACTAAGAGTGAGACTTTTAGAGGGATTTAGATGTCTCAAGATACAGCTAAGTACATAGTGGGATCTTTAAAAGCACCCAGTGCCTGTGTCTATCAGAGGTATCTGCTCTGGCTCCTGCTGAGGCTCCTTTAACTGCCTGGGTGAAACTGTGAGAACTCAAATCCCTTCCAAAGGCTGGCTCTCGGCATTTGGGCACCCTCAAAAATTCCCATTCTCCCTCCACCCCCTTCTTTTCATTTTCCCAGAAAGTCTAGAAGGAGGGTTCACTCATTTAAGAGCTAATTCAGGAAAGTACTTAAGCACACAAGGAAACTACGCAGCAAAATGCTTCTAGGCATGAGGTGAAGCCCTGGTCCCACGGAGGCCAGCTGGAGATTTGCCGCTGGCTGCGGGGGAGCGGGGCTGTGCCCTGTGGATAACCGCAACACTGCTCGCACCCTGCTGCTCGCACTCTACTGAAGTCAGCAGACTCAAGCTGCTTAAAGTTAAGCATGAAGTTAAGCGAGGTGAAGGAAGCATTTTGGAGAGCCGTTCTCTCACAAGTCCGTGTTTGAAGTCAGGTCCTAAATTTAATCTTATGCTCTCACAAAGCCAGACCCCACTCTTTAAACATTTACAGGGGCAGGTTTTGAACCTTTGAAAGCAAACCTGGAAAGGCAGGTGAGAAGGCTGGGGGCCAGCCCGCTCTCCCCTCCCCAGGAACCGGCTAACACAGGCAGCAGCCTCCCCTCCCTGGTCTGCAGAAGCCAGCACCTTTCGGAAGCATCCCCTCCAAGGCGGGTTCAGCAGTGGAGCCCGGGGCTGGGACGTCCTGCGTGGGTCTCTGCCCACGTCTCCAGCTTGTTCCCTGCAGCGAGGAGAATAAAATACCGTGAGTCAGTGCAGATATTTGGAGCTGGAGGGAAGCTCATTATTCTTTATGGCAGGGAGGCGTGCTTACACCTCTCACCCTGAGCTCACAGAGCCTGCTGAGATGGGTCTTGGCCCCTCTGCTGACCCACCTCTGCGGTCCCATGGACCGATGCGGTGGCACTGAACTGGGTTCAGCACAGAACCCGTGCAACCTCTCTGCCTGGCATGGTAGCAAAAAGGGCTGGATCCTGTCCTCTGAAAGCTCATCCTCTTACCTTAAGTGGCTTTGCATGTTTTACCTCTGAGCACGTCAGCTTACGGCCCCTTCCCACTTGCCTGTACCCCCCTAAGACTGTCCCGTCTGCCCCATACACCTACCCCAGCCATGCTCCATGTGAGGAACACAGGACCGCTCCCCTCACTGGTCCCCATCTCATTTCCAGGGCTTCAGGGAGAGCGGTAAGCAGCGGTCGTCTGCTGTCCATGGGCTAAGGCTCACCGGGCAGGGGCTGGCACCTCCACTGGTCACATTTGCAGGGGTCATAATTTGAAAAAGGCAGAAACTGCCAATCTCCAGTCGTGTCCGCTTTCCTGACCTGAACCCGCCCCGTTACCTGTCCTCTCCATACATTTCAACAAGCTCTGACAACATGCATACCTGTTCGTTCCATGGCTCCCCCGCTCTGTGTGTATTCACCTGCCTTACATTTCCTCCTCCCTCGTTCCTTACCTGTCTATCCCACACAAATACCTGCCTACCTCAAGCCTACCTGGATGTGTGATTTAACCACCGGTTGCGTGTATCACACTGTTCTATACATCTTCATCTCTCTGATCTCTGATCTGAGATCATAACTATGAATTTATTTACCTGCACTCTCCAGGCTCTCTGGTATAACTGTTCTACACAGACATATTGAATTTGTTCATCTCTACCTTATACCCACTCATTTAGCTGACCCTCCTAACCTCCCTGTAGCCAACGAATATCATATTACTTTATAATACATAAACCTGACAACTCCATCTCTGACATATTTACCTAATCTTCTTTCTTTTGTTTTAACACAGTTTAGTATCAGCTAAACACAAATGTATCATATATTTCTACCTGTTCCTCTAAGGTGCAAGGTTAAGATTCAGTTAGAGATAGGGTTAAGGATTACTGCTTAGAGTTAGGGTCAGGGTTTGGTTAGGGTTAGGGTTGGGTTGAGATTGCTTTAGAGTTAGGGCTAGGGTTGGTTCAGCATTTAGGATTACGTTTGGGTTATGGCTGGGTTAGGTTTAGGGTAGGATTGTTTAGGCTAGGGTTGGTTCAGCATTTAGGATTATGTTTGGATTATGGCTGGGTTAGGTTTAGGG